CGCGCTAATTAAAAGAAATGGATGTTCTTGCCAAAAGTAAAGAAAAATCTTTTGTAATTCATATAGACGCGATTTGCATTAAAAAAAATACATGCCTTCTAACTCATTTTCAAGATTTCCAAGATTTACTTTTCTTCACTCGCAAAAGGGCTTAAAACTTCTCAATCTTCGCGAGCATTCGTTTTGTAAACTTTCTTTCCGAATAATTTAATCTTTGGTTGCATGGATTCAGTTTCAAATGAATTCAGCACTAACAATAAGTAAAAGTAATATAACATCATATTATGATTTCGGACTCAATAATATAAATGTAATATGACACACAGTATTGCATAATAATTACATTATTGAGTTTGAAATTATAACATGGATGTTATATTACTCTTAGTTGATGTCGACTGGGAATTTAGATAAATCAGAGAACTCACTTCTCGTATACGTCTATGTCAAAACTTTGAAGTCCGCCTTATTGTCGTTACATAAGCTTTCCAGTATTCCAATTCTACAACTCTTAACGATAATGCCGGCATTGTTATATTGTTGCACAGATAAAAAAGCACATATATGCTAAATAAAAGTTGTATAACGACAATGTCAATGTAATGATAACGAAATGTCTTTAAAGGGCCGTCTACAACAGGAGTAATATGGTATAGTTTATAGTAACTTGTAAGAAATCGATCAATCGTAGTCACATATGAGAAGAATAATTGACTATGATTGATCAATTTCTTATAGTTCATATATTACTACACTTATTTCCGAAGTAAACCATCCATTCTACAGTGTAAACGTAGTTATGAGTGATATGATGTAGTTATAAGAATTGACCAATTACAGTCGAATACCCTTCTCAAAATTCTACTGTGATTGGTCAATTTTTACGACTACAACTACTAAAACTATGCTTAAAGCAATTGTAGAATAAAAATTCTTTAAACCACAGTAAACGGTTGCAGTTATATAAAAATTGACTAATCAAAGTAGAACGCGAGGAAAATATTCAACTGTGATTGGTCAATTCTTACAGCCACTTACAACTATGTTTATACAATTGCTTTAAGCATAGCTGTAAGTAGTTGTAGTCGTAAGAATTGACCGATCACAGTAGAATTTGAGACGGGTTATTCAACTGTAATTGGTCAATTCTTTATAACTACATCATATCACTCATGGATGGATACTGCACACCTTGTGCACGAGTCACGCACGTGCACGCGCGCGCTCAATGGGCGGCAGCTATGCACGCGTATACGCACATACGCGGGAATCACTCCCTCACGGGCGCAGAGCGCGCGCACGCAGAATTCTACTCGCGTCGCGAGATAGTCGCCCGCGCCTCGCGGCAGTCGGCGTGCGTCCACGCTCGGCACGCTACCGTCGCGTTTGCGCGCCGCCGTCTCGCATTCGTGTGCGTGCACGTGTACGTATATACGTGCGGTCGCTTCGCGGCCCGCCGTGTGCATGCGCTCCGACGAGTGTTATTTATTAGATCAGAGGAAGCCAGTTTGCAGTGACGCACGGAGTGCCGGCTGTCAGTGACACACGACAGTGAACACCTCGGGGCTCGCGCAACGTAAGGAAAAATAACGATAAAACGTCTTTCGTGTGTCGGAGTTCTTCTTGCGTCGCGTTCTCCAACGAGCTTCCTGATAAAAAAAAAAAAGAAGTGCCCACTTGTACATTCTTACTTGTCCGCTCATCCTCGGACAGACGGCGGACCGAAAGCGAGCGACGACGTCTTGCTTGGATAACGGAAGTTGGAGAACGTCGCGTAAGCGTCGCCTCTCGCGCTTGCCACTAGAATTCTGCGAGTAGCTAAACTGATGCGAATTTCGATATTTCGCGGGATAAAATGCGCGCGCGCACGCGAGAGAGAGAGAGAGAGAGAGAGAGAGAGAGAGAGAGAGAGAGAGAGAGAGAGAGAGAGAGAGGAATAATCAGCTTAATCGGTCTCGACGTTCTCGCATCGCAATTAATAGATATATAAACACGTCGCGAGAAGAATTCCTCTTATATTTAACAAGTTCTGTACATAAAGTTGTTTTGAAGTTTATTTAAGTTAGAGGATTATACGAGGATTACGTAAAGATTTCTCAGATCGCTCTCCATAAACTGTTAGACAAATCTCTACACTGTTAGATTCAATATGAAATTATAGCCAATTTGAATTATTTTTAATCGATTCTATAAGTCGCTTAGAAGAAAATGTATTAAATTTGACACAAATTTAGTTTATTGTTTTTTAAGTGCATACGTTAATGTTGTTTACTTTGAAATTAATCCCATAGAAATTAATTGATTTACATTTTATCACAGATGAAATTAAAAACTAACAAAATGTTAAACTCTGAGGATTGGGCTACCTTTTGATATCTAATAATATATTTTTAAATTTATGTCAAAAATTATACTCAAATTTAATTATTTAATTATTTAAATAAATTGAAGATTACAAGGACTCTTTTTATATATAAATAATTAATACGTTAAACATGGCGAATAAGAGTGAAATTACAATTTTTTAAAATCTAAATCTGATAATTTAAACTAATATTATATATTGCGAAGAATATCACGTAATTTTTTGGCGTTTCGTCCCGGCTTCCACTACTGGACTCATCAGTAAGGCATTGTAGTGGAAGCCTACCTTATACGCCTTGGTAAGTTATTAATCGAGATTCTATATAAAGAGATATACGCGTATCTTAGTACTTGCGAGAATTTACGAATATCGATAGACCTCTGATGGCGAGTCGACGTAGTGATACTCTTCGTAATATTTATCCAAAGTAGGAAATAACATTCTATTAATATATATAGTCCCCCCAAATTGCGCGCCGAACAATTGGACGAAACGCCAAAAAATTACGTGATATTCTTCGCAATATATAATATTAGTTTAAATTATCAGATTTAGATTTTAAAAAATTGTAATTTGACTCTTATTCGCCATGTTTAACGTATTAATTATTTAATTTATATGGAAAGTACTACTCTTATTCAACTCAATATGTTATCGTAATTAAAATAATGGAATTAAATAATTTCAAGAAAATGCATATATAAAATATTTATTATTTGTCAAGCTCATATGTCAATATGGATACTGTTTACTTTGAAACATAACCACAGAAATGGATTGACTTACATTTTGACACACATATGATAGTAAAAATGACAATGTTATTGAAATCAAAGGATTGGATCACAATCGCTCCTTCGAGCATATATAACAGTGTACAGTTTCTGTATAAATTAGATATTCTCCGCTACTACAAAATTGATTTGGAAGAATGCCACGTAACGAATGCGTTAGGAAATTTTAACCGAGCTCCCACAAGTTTCTGCAACGTGAGAAATATCAGAGTTCGTGCAAGTTCATACTTCGCATTTTAGACTTCTTATTTTTGATAAGTATGTGCATCAAACGGATGCACTACAACGGCAAAGTCTGAAAATACGATTTCATGTCGATAATAGATATAACAATAGTATGCGAAACGGTTTCAAGGCTCGAGAAAAATCTCGGGATATTTTTGGTCGAGATATCATAACCATTCGAATGGGAGATTTTCTGCTAAAAGCAAACACAGCGGTAGGTCTGTCACGTTTCCGCGCGGAATTTATACTGTGTTCGCGTGTGTACATATCGAAAATGTGCGCACGTTCCACATCGAGAATATCGCTCCAACACAGGCAAACAATAAGCCCATCTATATTATCATCCGTTATACAATCCTCTCATTTCAATTGCATGCTACGAGAAACAGGGTCGGTGAGAGATATCGTGATGTAAAACTTTTATGCTTTTAATTGCATTTTTATTTTACAAAGAGGCAAAGAGGATAAAGAAACAAGAAAATATTTTAATCCTTCACGTGCCGTTACTTCTCGTATTAATTATGTCAATCTTGCGTTCCTGTAACAAATATTCTCTTGTCGAGCCAATTAACCTTTCGTTCCGCAATGTGGATTTTTTGTCCAGCCCAAGTTCTTTTATTGTTCTATACTGTTAAATTTCTAATGTCAAAAATTACATCCAATTTGATTTATTTTAATCACTTTTGTAGATTGTCATTGCTCTTATTCAACATGTCGTTAATTTAACCGAAACGATAGAGTTAAACAGTTTAACTCAAGAAAATGAATTAAATTTTACTCAAATTTAGGTTATTAAGTACATATGTTAATATAGGCGTTATTAATATGGAATTTTGAAATTAATCACACAAATGGATTGATTTACATTTTAACTGCATGGAAGTTGATACAGAAATAACAAAATATTATTTAACTCAATGGAACCATTTCTCCTTTAATAGTGTCGACTTTCAAAAAGTGTAGAAAAATTCAGAGTTACTTTTCAACATCTCTATTAACATTATCAAATACTTTATTAACTCGAATGTTAAAACCTTCATTTAATAAAATTGAACTTTGAGCAAAAATGAAAAAGGAATTTGAAAGTTTTCACTTGTGCCAAATAAGATTCAAATTACGGACGGAGGATTAAAAAAGCAGATTCTATTATTTATATTTTAACATAAATCGTCACAAACATATTCGTTTTTAGTTAAATCCATTATTTTCATCAATAGCAGCACATAAAAGCGTTTTTTATCGCTCGCGAAGAATATAAATGGCTGAATTATTTTAATTTTATTTTCGTATTGAAGAGAGATAATTCCAGCGATAAAGGCAATCGCTTTTGATTTATATCGAATGTCGAATATTCGACAATACCGAATGGCCTCGGCAGTCGGCCAGTCTTTTTATATCGCTGACTATACGTATAACAAGCGGGTCGCTGCAATTAAGAAAGCCATTGCACGCAATTACGTTTGATCAGATAACAACGCCAAAGATTCATTTGCTGTCAGCGACGGCTTTGTGCGGAAGCCTTTTGCCGCATCATTAAAACTCTAGACACGAAGCCGTCGACTGACCGTGGGTTTTCCTTCCGCTCTGTGACCTCTGGTTTTCCTGGTTTTCTCAAGCGAATTCCAAGTTCGACGCGAGTCCAAGGGATCCATTCGCGTTGCGAAGGACCTCGCAATTCCGGCGCAAGATTCCCGAAGAGAAGAACAAAAGGAGCCATTATCACAAGAAGCTAAGGAGGACGCAAGAGAGGCACGTAGTTACGAACAGACGACCCCTTCACGGGAGAAACGCTCGCCGTTGTTGGAGGAAGTGATTTGTAAGCACGAAGAGGACCTGATCTGCAAAGAACACGCGCTCGAGTATCAAAGCCAGACACTCGAGAGCCAATCGGACCATTTGTTCCACGAGATATTCACCTCTTCGTTAGAAGACCTGCCTGAGGAAGTATCCGAGAGGTGGACCCGCGAAGTTTACGAGGAAAGTCTTGGCGAGATCGAGCAAAGCTTCAAGGAAACGCAATATTCGCCCAAGGAGAAGCGCGATGTACAAACGCAGACTGTGCAGGAATCCAAGAGTACGCAGTGCAGCCCTGAACAGAGTGTAATAAGTTCGTGCGAGGAACTGCCCAGGATCAGCCCCTTCCACATCGGCCAGAGGTATTTCCAGAGTCCCAGACGGGAAGTACAAACGCAGACTCAGGGCGAGAACAAGAGCGTTCAGTGCTCATTGGATGATCTGAGTGAAATCACGAGAGGCGACGCTGCGGATCAAACGCAGGAGTCGAAGAGCATTCAGTGCATCCCGGAAGACATCTCCACGAGATCGTCCGACAGGTCGAGATCCTCTTCCCGAGAAGACATTCTGCGTAGCCCGCGGCGTGAGGTCGAGGTACAGACCTACCAGGAGTCGAAGGCGATCCAATGCAGCGACGACGAGCTGCTCGAGGCTGACCAAGCGAGCGCCGATCGTCCGGAGCACGCGCATCACAGTAGACCAGCCAGCTCGACCTCCAGGAAGACCGAGAGCTCGCCCTCGTCGAGCTCGAGTTCGCCACGCAAGTTTCCAACTGTCGTCTTCGTGGAGGGCAAAGGGGACATGACCGTCACACACAGGGAGCACGATGGCGACGTCACCTGGTCGAAGCATTGGGGTCCCGAAAGACTGGTGGAGATATACAGAGAACCGAAGACCAGCCTAGGACTCAGCATTGTTGGTGGAAAGGTACGATGTAGTTTATGTTTAAAAGCGCGATTTGACAATATACAAAGGGTGACAAAAAAGTATGGCTACGAAACTTTGTGTACATCAAATCATTAGTAACGTATGTTTCTAAAAAAAATAAACTTTGGAATGTGTCATCGATTATATTAATTTTCTTTAATACTGCTCAGACAGCTGTCAGTTTATCATCTGATTGTGAGCAATGATTATTGATAAACACACAAAATTTTGTTACACGAACTGTTTTATATATATTAATTGTCATTACTTAAAAAAATTACAAAGAAGCATAAATATAATTTTAGAAAATAGAATATTAAGTAGCGCTTTTCAAAAATTTTTTTGTTTATATTTTCTAATTACGGCGCCACAGTAATTCTTTTGTTATAACTTTGCTTATGAATGCTGTATTATGGGGATTGATCGAATAACTAATTAAATCTAATTTACATCATGAGCGAATATCGCACGTAGTCGCGAGGTTTATTTTTACAAAATTCCGAGATTTGATCAATGCAAAGACAGGCAATCTTGAATTATGAGTATGTTCTTTATTTAATATCTTCTAATTACGTCATTGCAGTTATCTTGTCATATCACTTATTACTCTATATGGGGATTGATCTATTTAAATCTAATTTATATCATGAGCGAATATCGCGTATGTAGAGAGTTGCAAGGTTTATTTTTATAAATTCCCGGCATTCAATCGATGCAAAGAGAGATAATCCTGAATTGTTATATACGTTCTCGCGCGCAGTTATCCCAGCCACAATTTTTCGTATTCCTTTTATTAGCGCGCAACGAATATAGCTGCGGGCAGACAAGTGTTGGCCCCGTCGATATCGCCCTTGGTGTTTTACAGCTCGCCTTTAAAATCGGGAATGCAACGACGGAGCTATTGAAACATTCGGACAGAGCTGAAGTCGAAGTAGGTCGGGCCAGATGGCCATCGGTAAACGGACGTCTTGATGGATCTATCTCGCGCCGGATGATCCCATTTGTAATTCAATAATTCGGGCCGATAATTAATGTTGGATTTTAACAAGTAATAAACTGCCACGCGCTCATGGCTTCAAGCGCGGGTTTAATAGATTCGACCTAGCGATCCCGCGAATGAATTCCTCATGTGTGACGCGGGTTAAAGGCTTTTTATTGATAGCCACCGAGGGTTGCGAATCGGGATTGCCAGTTTGACGAATAGAATTTAATCAATTAACTCTTTATCGATGCACACCGAGCTATATCCGAGTTGCGTGTGCATCGGTTGAAGTGCATTAGCGCGCAGCCGAGTAGTTTTTCGACGTTAAACCGGCAAGAAGGCATAATAGGATCATCGGCTTTGGTTTTAACCAACTCATGGTTCTCTTAAAAGCTCTTGAAAATTACGTTTTCCACAAATTATTGTATTATCGGACTGCGCATTTGGGTATACATGACTCTGTTATTCAATTAAACCGTATAATTATTTACTACCTCCAGTCACAGAGAAATAATTGATTTTGAACACGAGGATTAAGTGAAAAGATTATAATCCGCCGATAAATAATGCAGTGTGATCGCGCAAAATAGAATTTGCAATTAATTAAATGAAGGGATACGTTTGTTTCTCTAATCACGAGTGGGGAGGAAGGAAAAATGCAATCGATTATTCAATATACACGCTAAATTGTGATGTTAAATAATTGCTTTAATTTGATTAGCGCATGACGATGCGGTAACAAACCAATGGACGATTAATGAGAATAAATGATCGAGAGGAAATTGGGACGGGGAGTTCAGAAATCACTGATGGGGGGCTGGTATCCGTCTCAAATTCCCACTACCTGCGACGTGGTCGCGGAGTTAACGGAGTTAGAGACAGTTGTAGAGGACGCTAATTAAATCTAACTTTGATTAAACAGTGAATTGTCAGCGGCTGAATCGACTATAATTATGGTTCTGTCGATCTCGCCGGATAGTGAGAGTCTTAAACGAATAGGTATTGAGGGATAATCGATTCTTGTTTCAGGTCGATCTGCATAACGGCGGACCCAGCAAGACGCAGAACATTTCTGGGATATTCATAAAGAATGTTCTGCCGAATAGTCCCGCTGGCAGAACCGGCGGTCTCAAGGTAATACAGTTTCCTTGAAACGATCCCCTTTACCATCGACCGCGGAAATTGTATTTCTCCACCCAGCAGTTCCCGCGCGTCTCCAGGTTGCAAAAACATAAAAACTTTAATAAAGCTGGAAGAAGAGACGGTTCTTGCCTTAATAAAGATTTTATCGCGGCAAAAGTTAACATTTGTACAAACATGTTTTAATTTAACCGTACCAGACGCTCTCAGCGTGCTTTACTCTATGAATTTCGTTTCGCAAAAATACATTTGTATAAACTCCACTTTAATTTTGCGCTATCTTAACGCTATCACTGCAGCATTCGCCGCGTGCTTCTTTCGTATTCAACTCGCGAGCGTTTTGATTTAAACAGCATTCATGAATGTGTGAAAATTTAATAGTCCACAATTGCCGCGGCGTATCTCGACTGTGTCTGGACTTAATTCGCTCTTATGCGCGTGCTTTCAGATTGGAGATAGAATAATTGAGGTGGACGGCGTCGACCTGCGGCACAGTACGCACGAGCGTGCGGTGGAAGTTATACAAGCTGCCGGAAATCCTGTCAGCCTCCTCGTCCAGTCCTTGGTGAATTTGGTAAGCTCTTGGTCACGATCCAGAATATCGATGTTTCCGCTCTGCCTGTTTTCTCGAGCTTGAGTTTGCCAGCTGGCTTTAATGCCGTTACAAAAGTTTCTTGAACGCTGGCTCCTCTTATCGCTCCGACGAGGTCTTTTATTTTCCATCGGTGTCTCCCGCTTTTTCGTTACGTTCGAGAAAATTATGCGAGGTACATTATAATGACGAGATGTGAATCTGACGATCTGGGGGAGAGTATACTAACTTTTTTTTTTATTAACTTTTTTCCTTCATGCAAACATTAATCATGGCCAGTGAATTTAAATATTTCTTTTAAGAGGCACCGCTTGCCTGCAGATCTGTTATATTCTATTGGAAGTAAGCCTTAGTCCTGCTCATGAAAAAGACTCCACATTCCTGAGGGAAATAAATTCACGACGTGCAGCTAAACCCTTTACTGCCGCTGAAATTTACGACATTGCTCCAGTAACTCGCGTAACGTTTACGTTACACGTCGTTTTATAGTCTGCAACTTTTCACGATGTACCTTTTCCTTTACATTAAATAATCTTTGCGGGAGAGTAATTTGAAATACGGTTGGCGTGCCAAGTAGAATTGATATTTTCAGTCAAAGCTTATTAAGACACGATATTAATTAATAGACGATGAAGAACTTGTCGCGTTATCTTTAATAATATTCGCGCAATCAAATCATATCTGTAATATGTTATTAATGTCTTCTTAATTAAATATCCTCTTACTATTAATTGTTTCAAAACTACACAAATTTAATTAAATAAAAAAATTCGAGTTTTTGGTAAAAACAGGTCAAGGAACATACCGAATCAAGAGAAAGTCAAAATGATTTTATTTTAACGTCAAAATCATGATTTATTGTTACAAAAGTTGACAGTTTATTAACGTTAAGAATAAAAATAAAGTGACTTTGATTTTTTTTTGTTATAATTTTTATGTATTCCTTGGGGACAGTGCTTAAATATTTCTGCGCGAACTTGTATGCATGTCTGATTCCAGAAACCACGCGTCGTGGTTTTTTTCTCTCGAAACGCAATCATGAACAGAACCAGAGTGGTAATACCAAATTTAAATAAACTTTCATAATCCAATTTCTATCTTGCAGTCTCTAACGGTTCGTTCTTTTAACATTTCACAATGTAATCTAAGGATTATTCCTTGTGGATTTAATGACAATTTACGCGCAAAACGGAAAGCCAGATTTCGCTACGACCTTCGGTAAGGTTGCCATTATAAGTCCGCGCACCGCTGCGAGGCTGACTCGATTTGCAAAGCACGAAAGTTTCACCTCGCAATTAACCCGTACCCGACGATCGATTTCGCTAACCGGACGTTATCGCCGTCATCAGACCCACGCAGGACGAAATTGAACTCCGTAATGTCATTGAATGGCAGCGACCCTAGGCGCTTCGCCGTTCAACGTCGCCTGCCTCCGAAGCGTCGCCGATAGACACATTACACGAAATTGGATGCAGGAAATACGCTGGATGCGGGGATACTGTGTCACGGTACTTGCGAAATGCGGGGATACGCAGCGATAAGCAGCGATATACAGCGATACACGAGCAGACCCCGAGAAGCCTCGCGGAGCGTAACGCAAACAATTCCACTGCACGGCGACTTTTATTATCACGCCGCACCATCGCAAATCTTATCTGGCGATCGCGAATTTTTACGACTTCAAGCATGGGATACGTCGGGCTCTCTCGTCTTTCTTGCACTGATCTTAAGATCGCACGTGCGAGACGATGTTACACGGTGCCAATATATAAATTTAAAATTGACGTCTCTGATTGTTAATGCGCTCTTTCACGCTTGCACGTGTTAATGTTTGTGTGACCCTATTTTCCATGTGCTGATCAACTTGTGGTTAGGCTTAACCTTATGATAATGTAAAAATGGTTTTATTTTCCTATCTATGGTTAACCACTGATAATTTTTTGTAGTGAATAATTTTTATAGTTATCACACACACTGCATAGGAAAAAATTTACTATTAAGTAATACTAAACAATACTATTGTTTCAAATAAATATTTATTAAAATGTAGTATTTTTTCAGAGTGTATACAAAATCATTAGTTTAGTGATTAATCGTAGCTCGAAAATCACAATTTTTACAAGTTAGAAAACTACAAGTTAACTATAGATAAAGAAAAACCGGACCTCAATCATTTCAATATCGGTGGAGTACCACGAATCAGCTCGTAGTATTGATGATAAAAATTTATATAACAATCTATCACGGCTATGACATGGCCTTCGCATCCAGTGCGATCCGAGCTCTTGGGCGGCTAAATATTAACACCGAGCATCGACATGCATTGACGTTATTCAATAGCGAACTACCGGGGCCTAATATAACTTCTTCCATGCGATCGTGATCATCGACAACCGACGTGTTATTTTTGGCTTCACCGAAGAGCGCGGACTATTTTTTGATGCCTTGAAATTAGCCCGAAACGAACGCCGGGGAAAGACAAGTTCGCTACCCGGTTTGTGCATTGCGCTTTAACGTAAGTGTCAAGTCCCATGATAGCAGCTGTTTGCTACAGCCACGGGAGGGTTGGCGAAACACACGGTCCGCGATTGGCAGTCTCTGAAAACGACATCGACTTTTCCCGAAATTTCAATCGGCCGTGTGCTCGATTCCATCGGAACCGCCGTTGCAGAGAATGGTGATATCGAGATATACACACGCGATCGTGAGTGAATCGGAGGACGGAGAGAGAAAATGAGAGGAAGGAGCGGTGAAGGCGTTAAAGAATAGAGAGAGGACAAGGGAAAGCACAAGAGAGATAAGTGGAGGAAGAAAGAGAGAACATGAAAACCCATTATTGGCGAACAGCTCTTGTACGCGTATGATACACTCGGTCGATCTTTCCAATAAATCTCTACAATAAGGGGAAGCAAAGGGAAGCACAGAGAGAGAGAGAGAGGGGGGGGGGCACAACAATGGAGATATGTAAAGTCAGGACAAACATAGGAGATGAGGGATGAGAAGCTGGTAAAGATGTGTTTTAAATAATATCCGTGATGCAACGACTATATCAAAAGATGCACGTTCCATTTATTATTATATTATAATTAAGCTGTGTATGTGTGTGTGTGTGTGTGTGTGTTTACACACACACACACACATATGTGTATACACACACACATACACAATATTATTGGTGGCGCTATATATATTTTTTATATATTGCATTTTTTAACAAAATACAAAAATTAGTGAAACGAAAACATGACAGAATGTTCTGTATTGTATTAAAAAGTAATGTAAAAGGTTTGACAATGATTTAGAACTTGAATAAAAAATTATTTCAATAAGAAGTAGACAAATTTTTAAAAAGTAATTCAAGATGAAATAGGGAAAATTTACATTTAAACTATATTGAAAGATATAAATATTGACTTTATTGGACTATCTTATATACATATATGTATATGATATTCATTTTTATAGGAACTACATCCTTAAATTCCTACGCACCCTTCGGGATTTAAAACGGAATTTTACGAAATATTATTCTTGAAAAACAAAATCATGTATAAAATAATAAACTTAGACGACAGACTTTTGTAAATCTTTCGAAGTTGCGCAATATAATCTTTTCGATTGTGATCACTCCGTTGGGGTATTTAAAATTGATCGATGAATAAGGATGATCCTAAAATTGTAGGTACCAATGATTTCTCTCAATTAAACGCCGTACTTCTTCCTTTTACGTGGCGCAGAAGGGAGAATTAGATAATAAGCGACCGCATCTGTTCTTTATCGATGAACTTTCTAAAGTGGCGCAGTGCACGGTGCAGTGCAATAAGTTGAAATGAAACGAACGTGTATTTGTTTGGTAATATCAACTTATTGCACTGTGCGCACCAGTTCAGAAAGTTTATCGATAAAGAACAGATGACGAGAGAGAAGGGTCGCACTCGTCTGATGGCCAGTGAAAGTCGGGATGAGTTGATGCGGTTCGTTGGAAAGAGTGGTTCACCTCGTTGCAACCGAGCGCGCCCATCATCGACACCATGGACCACCGACGAACCTATTTCCCCCCTCTCCCCCTCCCCTTATGAACACGGACGGCGCCATCCCTCTGTTCGCCGACCTCTCTCGCCCTCGCTTGCCGGCAACTTCAGTTTCGTGCACGAAACCGCTTGGTCGACGGCGGTTTACCTGATGTCACTCGGCTCAGTCGTCACGAGGCGTCGCGATGCGCCGATTCTTTGGACGCAAATGCGTTACTTTCGCCGTACGTTATCAAAACGGGAACGAACGAGTCGAGACATTTTCCACTGAAATTCGACGATCACGAACACGCGCGCCAGTCTCTTAACTCTCGTCAGCGCATATATAGCCTCGTGAGATCGCGAGATGCAACTGATGCACCGCGTTCGTGAAAACCGTGTGTACGCACACAATCGTAAATCGCATCGTAAATCGGGTTTACTTTGACTTACGTTGTAGATTATGAGCGTGCTCTCGGAAAGCTCTACTGGAAAGCTCGAATAAAAGAGCGGAATCGAGTGTTCCAAGTAACACCAAAAGAAGCTGCGGAAGCGAGCAAACGTGTGTCATATTCTGTCATTCTGATTGATCGAAAGTGAGGAAGGAAATTTAATAATCCGCGTTGGCGAGAGTCAAGGCTGACCAATTTTGTTTGACCGATTGCGATTGGTGTTACTATATATATATATATATATATATTCGACTTTTTAATTATTCTTGTGTGTTTATAAGAGAGTTCTTCATTGACGTACATTCATCTCGTAGAACAAAGAGGACGTTAATCAACAAAATGAGTTGTACGAATTGCTGTTATAGAAAAACTACGAAAAACACGAGTGAGGATATCGCTTTTACTAAAAACGATGTAATACTGTTGCATCTGGTGATCAAAATTTGTCGCATCGTGCTCAATTTGATTTGCATCGAATTTGTCGAGATTGTCGAAAACAGACGGGTGCTTTTTCGTTACTGCTATCTATCCAGCCAGTGAAATACATCCTGTCCGCATATTTCAGTTGATTATTTCGTAAAATGTATGCGAAAAAAAACAAGCGAAAGGAAACAGAGTCGTACACATGGGATGCATAAATAATTTTTATAGCCAATGTTTTCGCACGGATGTTCGTATTATTTATTATGAAGAATCGCCATTGCGTTCCGGCAGCGTAGTTCTCTGAATGTTTATCATTTTACATCGACTTATATATATTTATGAAACAAAATCGTAATGTTCACAAAATAATCGATTTCCTCCTTCGGCCATGGAAAGGAGAAGAAGAGATCGCGGGAATCCAGTGTGCATCGCCATTCAGTTTTACACGTTACGGAATTAAACTCGTTCAATTGCAGTTACTTTGGCAACAATTCAAGATGCTCAGCAAATATTTCCGTTGTACTAATTCATTCCGACCGGTTTATCTAGACGGTCTGCACAGTTTATCTCTAGTTACTAAAATAAGTATAGATCTCTTTCAAACAACTCCGCGAGACTATCTGCACTATATATCTTCCTCTTGCTGTCTACTTCAATTTCCTCTTTCTTCTGAAAGTATTTAGCTTTTTCTACCAATGTGTGTATGTGCGTATACATGACTGTGTATGTATTTTATTTTACATTTAAAATTAAAATTAAAAATGTTGCAATATTTTAAATGTAAATTTTATATATTATTTTATTATTATTTTCTTTGTCTGAGTTTGATAGAAAAACTGAATTAATAGCATTGTGTGTCATCGTAACAAGTTTACAAGTTATAAAAATCTTTTGTATGTCGCGTGTCGATAATTTTATGTTAAATACTAATGCTGTGTTACATTCTGACGCAATAAGCAACGTTAGCTCCGAGAACGCTGTCGGGGATAATGTTACATTGGAATGAACTTAAGCTGGTTTGCGTGCAACTCCAAGATTTCAAGATGGAAGATAGAATCTTGGAATTGTTGCAGAGTCCAGAGCACGGTGGCGCCGTCCAGGAGGAAAGGGATTCCAAAGCTCGAAAACAAACCATCAAGAGTCATACATCGTCGTCTTCAGGTGTCAGTCCTGGAACGCCGACGGCATTTCGCCATAAACCACCGCCGGTTTCGCCCGCGAGATCCATCACGCCAGAAGTAATACAGGTCGGTCTCCTCATATATATATGTTTATACAATTTTTTCTCGACTTAACTTTTTTATCCTTAAAAATTCGCGCGTAATAATGATTAGCGAATAATGTTAAGAATGTATTACACACATCAACAAAATTAAATTTTTAACAAAATGAAAAATTACAGATTTTTTTACTTTGTATTTGAAAGCGATATACAAAGTTTGACGGCAATTTAAAACTTGAATTCAAACTTATATTTCAATAAAAAGTAGACATAAAAGAAAACCAAATTTTTAAAAAGAAATATAAAATAAGAAAAATTGAATTTAAACTACAAAATTGTTGAATAAATATTAACTTTTTAGTGAACTCTGTTTCATATATATACATATATAATATTTTAATACGGAAAATATCTCATTTCAGTTACTTTTTTGTAGACGCTGATCCTTAAACAATATTACTTTCTCATGATTGCTCTTTTTATAAATATTTTATTATATATAAACATTTTGTGATTATATTTTAAATGTTATGTTATTTCTGGATTTGACAAACATTAACAAATTTTACGATAAATAAAATTATCGGAGTTTTAACGAAATCTTTGATAAATGAATGTTATTGAATGCGTGAAAATCGTAGGATTGACTACATAGTAGCTTATACATTCGTTTATCATGATCAATTAAAAAATGACGGTGCACAATTCGTGTTTCCCCTCAGCTTTCTGCATAAGGAACAAACACAATTGCTGTATTAATTGGCAAAATGGCGCGGGAGAAATGCTGCGCGTTGGGACACTCGATGTTCCGCACTAATTAATTCTTTTAATTGAATCGCTGACTGCATTTTTGCGGTAAAGTTTATTTCTGTCCTAATTAAATTAATGCAGGTTGCGCGGTCGTAAGAATAATCGTATTTACTGCTCATATGAGCTTTAACCTCGGCCTAATAATAATTCCTGTTTTGTTTTTTATAATAACGTATTTACGTATATAGATAATTATGCTTTTCAACATTTATTAGTAATTACAAATAATTTCTTAAGGAATCATTTATTTCAATTTGCAAGCACATCATCTTCGAAAGTACTACATAAAATAAATCTCAATTTTATCGATATAGTTTATGACATATCCCGGCAAATACTAACTGTAACATTACATCAACATTATAATTTTGCATATAAAAATATTAAAGTTTAATGAATATTTGTTCGAAATACTTCTTAGTGAATATTTACTAAATATAATATATATTTATTTGGTTCAAGAACCATTAATCTATCTATAATTCTTTTGTTTTATAAAATATTTTTTATTTTTTTGTTTTATTAAAATATATTTTATTTTATATAGGTAATATATATTTTTATAATATTGAGTAAATATTTATTTATTTATCTACTATGTCATTAAATGTTACAATTAGTATTATTTAAAGAAATATTTGTTAAGATTTAGTAATTTTGTTTTCAGTGCACTCAATAATATAAATGTAACATAACACATATTGTAATATTGATGTTACTTTTAGTTGGTGTGTATGCGTGCGTGTATGTGTGTTTTTGGAGTAGATAATATTTTATTGACACACTGGAGAAGATTTTAATCCCCCGCTTCTGAAAACGTCAATTTATTTGTTGCGTAGCCAGGATTCGAGGACGTCGTTTCGCGCGGGGAATCCCAGAGGCAAAGTTCGAAAAGTTCGGATGGCTCGACTCCCAGTGCGCGAAGGTATAATTATATAGAAATTCTAAGTTTTATTTTCAACTCTCTCGCTTTCAGTTATCTAAGCTATTTAGTGTAGATCATCATAATTATATATATGCATCTATATTTATTATTATAAATAATAAATTCTTATATCAATTTATCATTACAATAGAAATCCTATTATTATTATAATAGAATTATAAATTAGGTTAGGTTAGAAGTTTATAGATACGAATGCTCATAAAAAATGCGCATTTTTTTACCTTATCGCTTATCTCTCGTGCACAAGTATTGCGCGTTATGTGACAAGTCGGTGTTAGAATGCTCTGATTTTTCCTGAGTATACGTTGTATCTCTCAAGATCCTCCATGAAGAAGTCTATTCGGAAAACAGCCCCATCGCCACCTGTGAATCAGGGTATCCTTCGCGAAGTCAGTGAAGAGCGGGAGGATCACGCTGCAACTACCGTCGCGGAGCCTCCACTAAAACCCAAGTACTCCTCAGATGAGAGCTCCGAGGATGAGGAGGACACGCGTATGCTGGAGGGAAACGTCTACACGAAAAGCGGCATTGAGGTAACCGAGCAAAAAGCTGACTCCTAATTCTCATTAGTGCTGTAATGGTTGTTATTCTTTTTAGAAACAGTCGACACAAATGTCATTCTACCTTCGTTGTTCGTTTAATGTCAAGAAGGATAGAACGACGTTTGCGCCGACTGTGTTTTCCTAAAAGATAAGCAGCCGATAATAACACATTGTAAAAATCGCTTGTCTCTAGATCTCGCGGAAAAGCGCCGGAAACGTGAAGCGCACGAAGGCGGAGATCGAAGCGGATCCGGAGGAAGAGGACGAGTTCGGTTACACGACCAGTGAGTGACGGTTCCGTACTAAATATAAATAGCAACAGATTCAAAAACAATTGGGAATTGATATTTATATACTATTTACGTCACTCTGAAGAGATCGATATTTATTCTGTGTGATCGCTCCATCACGTTCAGTATTTGTTAACAGTGAAATTCCGTTAATAATGAATTTTATTATCTCTCCGAACGATCAATCAATTCGCATGATTAATATGAAGGATAGCTAGCTTATATCGTTCTAAAATCGTTCTAAAATATGTAAAGTTTAATGTGTGCGCTTCGGATGATTCGTTGGTCAAAGTCGCAGTGGTCGATCGATCTCCATCCCCCAGACGCGAGAACGTTTTTTTTTTTAATTTTACAGAAAAGGTTCAGAAGAAGTACCAGAATCTCGGGCACAAAGTGCTGATGGTCACCCTCGAGAAAGACAGGCGGGGTTTGGGCATTTCTCTGGCGGGGCATAAGGACAGAAATCGAATGGCGGTTTTCATCTGCGGTCTCAATCCGAAGGGTGCAGCTCACAAAAATGGCGGGCTTCTTATCGGTGACGAGATATTAGAGGTGGGTATTTCGCGCTGTCCCTCCCGCGTTTTTACGATGTGCCATTTACGACCACGGTTTCCCCTCGATTGCTACCTCGTCGGGTTGTTTAACCTTCGTTTCACGCGCCGTCCTATAATCCGTTTAACTCGCACGTCCGACGCGACGTTACGCGTTGCGGGTTTTCTCGAGAAAATAACACAACACCGACGCTTTCGTCTAGAACGTATATATTTGCTAAGCCGAGCAGTTCTATTGCAAATAATACAATAAAAATAAAGCCTGTATAATGAAAATTTTGTCAAAGTTTTTATATACAAAAATTGAAACAATTTTTTAAAATACCGAGAAAGTCAGTGTTTTTTTTTTTTTTAAATACTTCATAAATGCAAATTCCAAAATATTCTAAGATTTCTCATTTCATAATTTCTGAAAAAATATTTTAAACTTTTTTTTTTAGATCTCATAAGATTTTATCAGGAATTTTGTAGAATGAGAAATCTCAGAATATTTTAAAATTTATGTATAAAAAATTTTAAAAAAATATACTCTTTTGGTACTTTTAAAAAGTGTTCTAATTTATATGCAAAATTTGAGACACTTTCTAAAAAGTTATTATTTAGAAATTCTGAAAAATTTTGAACTTTACATAGAATTTCTAAAATATTATATGAAAAATTCTGTCAATATTTACTTGTCATGTTTAATTGAAATATTTAGAATTTTAAGTATATAAAATTTTAAACAAATTATAATAATTTTTGCAAATTATCCGTGAGTTAAGAGAAGTATCAGATAAAATTAAGTCATATATGCATGCACATGTGCACGCATAAGCCTCTATTTTAGTTATATTAACATTATTTTTTTATCTTTGTAGCGTATACATATAACTTGCAGATAATAAAAAAAATGTTACATTTATTTGTTGGCTGGTATTTTACAAGTCGCGTTTTGTTGTTTTATTCGATTACGCAAAATGATAAATGCTAAAAATAGATAAAATATTTTCTGTTCCACTTAGGTAAACGGCTACGTATTGCAAGGACGATGTCATCTGAATGCTTCCGCTCTTATCAAAGGCATGGCCGGTACTCTCTTCAAAATCATCGTCTATCGGTGAGATACTCAGAGCTTTTTCCGCGATGTAACATGATGTAGAGACGACATGTATAACAAAATTCATTAAAACTATAAACGGATTTCGCCTGTCCTGGTTGCAGACGATCGAAGGCTGTCGACGACATCGCCGTAAAGCCGATAGTCCAATTTCCACCAACCTTGGATGACGTAAGTCAATTCGCGGCGTCCACCTTTTTTTTTTTACCTTTATCGTACCAGTTGCAGTACTCGTAAAATAATCAATGAAAAGCAATTGAGCGTTCCATAATAATAACACACTTGACGTGTTGCAATTAACAGTTCGACTATGAAGAAAAAAGTGTACTGTATAATTATTTTAATGAACGTATAAACGAATGATGACAAATTTTGATGAATGTTTTGTGAATATTTTGAAATAAAAGAGCTAAATTATTTATTAATAAATAGGAGAGCTTATTTATCATCTGAAAAAGGACAAATTTAAATATTCAAATCTGTTGAGCATCAATGTAAAAATTATGTTTAAATTATACAAAATGTCCAATAGATCATGCGATAAGAAAAAGATATAAAAAGTACTGTACATTTATTTGAACATTCTTTATAAGATAAAATTATGTAATTCTATACTTTGGAATATTTGAGAGCTGTATCATATTGCCGTGAAACATTATATAGACGACATTTTACATGTTACAGGTTTATATAGATTTTAAAAAGTACAAAGGAGTTCGTGACGTGCGAGTGAAGAAGGTAAGTGTCTATAATTACAATATACGAAATTGATCAGCCGATCAATATTTTGCGCAGTCTTGCTTTCTGATATTAATTTGGCGATCAACTCGTAGAGTCAATACGGCCTTGGCATAATGATCATCGAAGGAAAACATCTAGCCGTAGGACAAGGCATTTTCGTGTCCGACATTCAAGAAGGCAGTGCAGCGGAACAGGTAATTTTCGCTCGTACTTACGACCTTGAGAGACCTATTTTAAGCGGAACTCATGTACTTTACAACGCGACTGATATTTCAGGCTGGATTGCAAGTGGGAGACATGATCCTAGCCGTTAATCTAGACAGCTTATTAGGCCGCACGTACGATGAGGTTCGTATTTTTCATGTTTCTTTCTTTAAATAAGGATTTATTTTACCAATTGAGGTGTTAAACATATTTAAACAATCTTTATTCATTAATTTTTTTTAGGCGACGGAATTATTGAAGAAAGCGGAAGGCGTCGTTAAGCTAGTAGTTTGCAATCCTAACGAGAATAAAGAACAGAAACAGAAGGATAAGGTTAAAGAACTCAAGGATGATTTGTCAACTTCGGTTGCACAGAAAACCCCACAAAAGAGTGAGTTCAATAATGAGATTAGTGTCTTTATAATAACGATTTTGATGAAACACCTAAAAATTTAACTAGAAACAGATCTGAAAGTATCTAATTTTGTTAAACCATCAAAATAATTATATAAAACGTTTAAATTGGTTGCTGGAATGTTAAAATTGTTTAATATTATTATCATCGTTTAAGCGTTCTACGTTATTATTTTGACGGTCCAACAAAATTATTTTCAGATTTCTGTATCTAGCTAAATTATTAGATATTTTGACAAAACCATTTTTTCCGTATATGTTTTATTTACGAAAAATCTCGTAATGCACACGCATACATTTTGTTCTTGAAACTATAATTTTGTGTTCAATGTTTGATTCCCCGCTATTGCAATATTAGCCGGCAAGGAACCAGTGGAACCAGAAGAGAAGAAGGTACGACAGGATCCCAAGACTTGCAAGGTCGAAGTCGGCAAAGAAGCGACGATAGAGTTTCAGAAGGACAAGAATCAAGGTATAGGTTTCTACATCGCTGGCGGTTCTAACACTCCTTGTGTGAGTATTTAATAATTTTCAACATGTATGTAACTTACTTCGTATGATGTTGCATCGCAATACCTTTCAAAAATTTCTTTTATTTTTTTAATCGTAAGACGTTTTGTTAAAATGAGACTCTAATATACATATATGTATAATTGCATATAAGAGAAAGAAATCAACACAAACTGATGCGTCGAGAAAATGATAAATTTACGAATATCATAAGTTAGATATACAGATATATTATTTCAAAAATAATAATTTAGTAAATTTTAGATAACTATCGATGTTAATATTTGCATTCTTGAGAGATAATAATTCTTCTAGAACGGGGTATTCGTTCTGGACGTGTCTCCTGAAGGTGCAGCTGGAAAGGACGGCAGATTACAACCAGGCGATCAAATTCTCAACATAGGCAACGAAAGCTTTACGGAGATAGAGCACGACAAAGCTCGCGAGACAGTCCTGAAACAAGCTCCTGGAACTGTACGTAACATTATACTCTGTTAAATAATCACCGTCGTTTTAATGAACGAAGAGAAGATATAGAACAGTCTTAAAATGTTCTTTTGAAACATAATTTATACACAGTAAAAGATATTTTGTATTTACGTCGGTATACTCAAGTCTTTGTTAAAATTTTGTTGAATTTTTAACATATCCGAGTGTTAATTTGTATGATTATATTACTTCATTTTATATAAAATTGATATACTATTTCTTCAGTGTCAAAATGACGCTGAAAAAAATACAATCTGAATAAGTGAACAAATATAATATAAAAATAATATATTTTAAAACAAACGTTTTAAAAAGAATGTATTAAAAAATATGTGTTAATTTAACATCGTAAATGTGTTAATTTTACAAATTGTGTCAATGTTGCATTTTTGTATTTTTTACATAATATTTTTTGTTACCTTCTAATACACTCATCTTGTGTTAAATATAAAAATTTAAGTGATTCCATTTGGGACACGTGAAATGTGTTAAATTTGATACCAATTTTCCAAGCGTGTATAAACGGTATAATTTATACATATAAACAATATAAATTATATATCCTCGTTCAATTGATTGAGCGAGCGTGACGCGATTTTGTTGTTCGTTTACAGATCATGATGACGGTGTTGCGCCACGAGAAACCAGCCGAGGAATACGAGGTTGAGATACAGAAAAAGAGCGGTAAAGGAGCTGGTCTCTGTTTCGCCGCGTTCTGGAGTAACAAGGGGGTCTACGTGAAGGAGCTAGTAAGTCCGGTTCTATATCCTGATATATCTATGTTTAATAATTAATTTACGCTGATCGCATTCTATTGATTTCTGTTCTACAGACAGCAGGCGGTCAGGCTATCGAAACCGGCAAGATCTGCAAAGGTGATCAACTTGTAGCGATCGGTGGATTGGACGTTCGTGACGCTTCCCTGGACGACATCGCCTTTCATATGAAAATATCTAATCCGCTGCAAATGAAGCTAGCTAGGTATCATTCCGCCAAACAATGACAGGTAAGATCTACTTACATGTTAACTAAGCAATCATATCTAAAATATTAAGCAAAGTATACAATATATGTATAAAAGCTGCACGAAAGAAGGACTTCACTGAAATATCTAAAAATTGAATTATATAATAGATACAGATCTGAAAATTTATTGAGAGCTATCAAAATAAATAAGGAACTCAAGTATAATGAACAATGCTGTAACAATTTTTTATTCTGGCAAATTGCAGCTTAAATATCCCACATAATTATTTTAATACAACATAAAATTATTTTCAGATTTGTATTCAGTATATTTCAGAATTGTATTCAAAATGTATCCGACACCTATTTTATTTTTTTGATTTAAAAAGTACAAATCTATAATCAATACTTATATAGAAACCCTCAGGTATAAGAATCTGGACACTTGAGATAAAATGGCGACAATATTTAACTTTTTATTGCAGAGTATAAGTTTTCATAAATTTTATGTGGTCCATCTTATACTTTCTGTAATACCATCATATTTTTTTGCTAATAAAGAGACTACTGAGTGCGTTCGCAACATGTTCATAAACATTATTTCATGCTTATTTAACATTTATTGATAAACAACAAGGATGAAATAATGTTTGCGAACGCTAATTCGAAGAACACATAAAAATTAAAATGACTTTATTTTGATTTTTATCAATAAACAGTCAAATTTTTGTAATTAAAAATCATTTTGACTTTTATCCAAGAGAAGATCATTTTGACTTTCTCTTGACTTGATGTGTTCCTTAGGAAGTAGAACGCATTCTGAGTTAACTCTTACTTGAGGGTCTCTAACCAAGGCAATCATGACTCGACGGTAATGATTATTAACGAATTGTATATATTTTTCAGGGTTCTGCGGGCGGAACTCTCAACGTGTGTCCAGACGTACGAAGAAGCGCCTGCAGACACCGTGGATTCTAGTGTGATATACATAGATAAAATAACGTCTCGATAAACCCTAAGAGTATCTTTGTTACAAGAGCCGCGTATAGAATTGCGCGACTCGCTCTAGTTACACGCCAGCGTCGCCAATCGATCTTGCCGTTCAAGCTCGCAGACTTGCGTGCAACACGAGACAGAGAAAAGTAGAACGAAGAAGACGGAGCACGATAGAGCGCGATGACTCAAACGTACACATCAATAAGATAAAAATCCGAGAGCCGGCAGAGGAGAGAATTTTTGTAACCAACTTGTAGAGGGTATCAAATCGAGTGAGATCCCGTCGACACGGGTCGATTGGCCATTAATCGAATCCGTAAACAATTCCGTCTGTCGATGTTCGCGCTCGTGCAAATAGTCGATACAAAAAATATCTTCTATACACATTATTATAATTACATATAACGAGATAATACGTTATCGCCAAGACGAGAATTCAATAACGACGAATATTTGTCTCGTTCGGCATAGAAAGCCGTAGGGCAGGTAAATCGATAATAATCCGCAAGTCTACAATCGAGGCTCGTGAAGAGAAAAAGTCACGGAATCATTCAGATCTGGTCTCTTTCTCTTCGGACTAGCGCCGTTCTCCTTGTATCCCCGATACAAAATCGAATCCGCTTGTACATTTCGTATCGCATCTTGCGTATACTTTAAGGCAAGCAGAGATAGTAGGACCGATTGTAGCGCGCGTTTTCTCGATACGTCAAATATTTTTCCCTCTTTTTCCTTTCTTTTTACGATAAGACTCTAGTCCAGCCCGAGATCGACGTTCCGGCGTTTCACGCCTTAATTATTGCTCTCGCTCGCGTCGCGGCCGCTCCCGCCATAGCGTTACTATATTGTCGCATATTGTATTTTTTAATATTAATAAGAAGCACAGAACGATGTACGAGTTAAAATGCCGGTAAAATGCGTATCGAGAGAACTTTATATTGACGCCCATATTTACATCAACCGTTGTAAAAAGCTTTTTTCATCTGTCCATGCTTGCGTAAAATAAGATACACCAATTTTGTAAAATTCGTAAGTAGAATTTTACGCAGTTTAACTTACAAATCAAAGCCAGAGTGATATAAGCGATATGAGATGCTTTTCCAGTCGACACAAATTTAAAGTAACATGATATGAATGTTATAATTTCATATTTAATAATATAAATATAATAGATTTGCTGTTTTTAGATGAACTTCTTGCATGACTCGTTTCTCTTTTCTCTTCATGTTGAATGAAAAACGAGAAAAGAGATGAGAACCATGCAAAAAATTCAGCTAAAAAGAACAAATCTAATATAAAGGCAGAAGCACATCTTGTATAATGCATAATATGTGATGCACAAGAAAATTAACCGATCAAAATCTTTTATTTCCTTTTTTCCATGAAATGAAATAATCTGATGGGTTGATTTTCTTATGTCTTATGCGTTATGCAAGAATTTATACTTCTGCTCTAAGCTCTAACACGTGACGTTACATTGTTGAATGCGAAATTATAACATTAATTTTATATACAGCATATTTTTTATCCAAGAGACATCTTAGGAACGTTCTTAGAATGTTTAAGAAATATAGAGACGTTCTCTGGATATCTTTAGGACGTCCCTTGGAAGTCTGTACTATATGAAATATTACTTTTATTTGACGTCGACGTTGAAATCGCTATATCGATCAATAGATGGATTTTTATTCTTGAACAGTAAAGTGTTTGCGCAAACTTCGTTCGCGCATGGATATCGCTTCGAAGTGGCTCGTACGTTGATATAGCAATCGATGTAGAATATCGCCTAAAAAATGTTAGATGTAAGACAAGGGGAGGTACACGCATACACACAATCTTCGAATATAGATCGACAAAAAAACGGAAAACGGTCGCAAACCGAATGTCGAAACGTCGATCGAGAGGATCATTTAGCTGTAAGTGCTTGGAGACGCGCGCACGGAGATCATGTCCGGCGCGATCTTGCCGTACAATCGCGAGAGGTGTTTCCCAACACCAAACCAACAGATGGCAGATATCATCCCGAGTGTTCAAGCGTTTCCTTATGCTTTGACCGCCGTCAAACACGGCAGACGACACGTCGAAAAGCTAGACTGGCTTGTTGAGTACACATAGTTAAATTAAATCCTATCATGTAACTAGTCCTTATGATACACATAGCTTAGAAATTTTCAGAGAAAGAAAGCAAAAAAAGTAAGTACAGAAAAAGAAATTATATAAATAAATAATTATATGAATAATATATAAGTACAGAATCTATAATAGGAATCGCGGAACATGTTTTAATTTAACGAGTCACTCGTATCCGTCATCGTGTGAGTGGTTGCACGTTCTTAAAGAACGTTTTGCATTTGAATCTCGTATAGTTTATCGTAGAGAGATATGTTTATAAAGACATTGATCCTTTCTCGGGCCGATGTCTCGAAGGTGAATAACATTATAAAAACTGTTAGTTGTATGATCATTATTATTATATATTATATAGTATATTACGACGAGTTGTATAAAGAATTAATTATTGTGTATTGTACGATGCGTTATCGCGTATTAAGGTTTGGATTTTCAAACAGCAGAGAAATAGAGCAAATCTGGTAAATCGAAAAGCGTGTTCCAAATAATAATTATTATTGATCAATAATTATTTTTATTAATTAATAATAATAATTATCGATGAAAAAGAGAACTTTTACTGGATGAGAACACACATCAAGCATTTTTCTCTTCAAGTTTATCTATATTAATTTACACAAACATGCAAAACTGTTTCTTTATATTTTTCAGTTTTATACATCTATTTTAATGCAAAAATTCTTTTTAATTTTAGTCGATTTATTTTCTTCTCATTTTTACGCAACCTGTCAATTTACTCTTCTTATTATATATCGTTATATGCGTATGTATACATATATTATTTATTATAGTTTAGAATCTTATTCAAAATACTTCATATATTTCTTACCTACTCCGCTTTTTAAAATTTATTTAAATCGATTAAAATTAACCGATGACGATAATTGTCGCGTTTCTACGATGTAACGAAAATATTTCAGCACTCGATAGTCATACGGGCTATCGGCGCGTTCTTAGAGAATTTTATCTGAGGCATAGAATATAAATGCGTCTAGCGTTAGCTGTGCGGAGGAAGGCGAATAGAGTCCATCACAAGAATCGCTGGTCTGTATTTCGCGTCACCAGATTCGAAGTTGCGTCCCATTACATCAATATCGGATTATCGAAGATACATCAAACATCGGTTCTTCGGTGTAAAGTTACATCACAAAAGACTCGCGAGATACTCCTGTTTGCCGGCTGTTCCGGAAATGCACGTACAATCACTATTGTGTTTTCAATTAGCAGGAGATAATGATTGCAACGGCGTCGCTCGACCGAAGAAATTCCATTCGCAACTCCAATTTCGCTGTCGTTTGCGCGGGAGGCATTTTTCATCTTAAGGAAAATTCCTTTTTATTGGCCAAAAAATAAGGTATTTTTAAAAATCTTGTAAAGAAAACTACTTAAATCAAACGTTTTTTTCTTAGCCAAAAAAGGAGGAGAAAATATGGGTGAAAAAATTTACAGACATTCATGAAATATAGATATATCTTTTACGTGTAAAAGGTTAAAAATGTTTGCATAAATGGTTTTCTTCAAAAAATTCCTAGAAACACTTTATTTTTTCGGGACCTAAAGAGGAATCTCTTAAACCGAATTTACCTTGAATTATTCTAACGCGCGATTACGTGGCGCTCGTGCGTGAACACAACTTCGAAAATGGTTTGACGTGCGGCTATACGACTACTTCGATATTGTATATCCTCCATAGTTACAGTTTCTGTTCACATGTGCATTTATTGTACAATTATTAATAGCGTTATTGCACACGAGCGGGGCGATTGTAAAATGGCTCGAGTGCGGTTCATGGATGGTCCACTGTGATCAAATTCGAAAAAAGTGAAACGAACGAGAGAATAATAAAAAATATTTCGTGTAGCTCTCTCGCAATCATGTATTTTAAATAAGTAAATTAGAAGGTCCGATGCCATTTTACAACCAACGGCTCACGGTTATTGTCCTGATTATTGTTATCATGATTATTACAGTCGACGTCATGATCATCGTAGCGCGGCACTACTGAGAGTAAAAAAGAAATGGGGGGGGGAGAGAAATGGAGATCTATTAAAAGCATTAATTGCAATGTTGTAGTAAATGATGTTTGTTATTTTTGCATAAGTAATCTCCTTACGTTACTTTTATCTTTTATGTGTTGTCTTAATAATCGACAACGGCAGCATATTAAGGTAAGTAAAATCGCAGATGACTGAAAACATATATTTCGTATAATACGATTTTTATATTTCTCAGCATATAAGTACTAAAAAACAATGTTTGCAATTTCCATTTCGCTCGCAGAAATTTTATTTTGAACCCACACGATCGAGAAGACAATTAACGAACGCGGAAAATTGGTTTTTTAAATAAGTATTATACCTTATTAATGATGATATACATTAAAATAAGTCAAAAAAATCCTACTCCAATTTTCGCAAAGATATTTTTGTCATAATAAGATCCTTTCTTTAAAAAGTGTCTGTTTATCGTAAGATGTAAATGCAAATTACGCAATAAAAATATATTCTTAAATACTTCAACACTTCCAGATTGAAAGCACGTCTCGTGATTGCAAAACATGTTTCAGAATATAATCCCTACGTTTCTCGGCATATATTATGAGAGTATATAAAAACAACTAAAAATCAACATTTTTCGCAATATTTCCATTTTACTTGCAAAAGTTTTATTTTGAAGTCACAATCGAGAGAACAATCGCGAACGCGGAAAACTCGCTATGAGAATTGCTTTGGAATAAATTTTATTTCTCGACGTGCGTCTGAATGCAATTTCATCCATTCGAGATCGAATATCGATCTGCGGGACCCCAGTGTGTTTCATAAAAGATTCGAAATTTCGGCGGTGCACGTGTCATTTTTTACGCGCTCTTTTCCGATTAATTAATTGTGCATTATAGAGTGGTGACCCACTTCTGCTGCCGATAAGCAATTTCTTTGGCCCACTTAGAAAACGTTTTTGAAATAAGAAAAACAACGGCGATGCTGGATATAAATCACGTCGCGTGGCATCTCCTCGCTCGAATAGGCGTTTACTAATTAATATTGCAATTATCTTACGCTTGGCGCGATTCAAGCTCATGAAATACTTATTAGATCCTGATTGTCGTCGTGTGAGATGATTTCACTTACGGAGGATCGCGAAAGCGAGGCGATTTTACATTTTCGCAGCGTGTATCGCTAATCTCCAAGAGTTATTTGTGGAACATCTTAATTTCACAATAACGGGAGTTATGAAAGTTCTGCAAAATAACTTTTGCCTAAATCACGGGAGAAAATTAATCATGCGGTGACAGCTATCTGGTGCATGAAGTACGTATACCGGGAAAAACAAGAAAATCTGTGGTCATCCGCGTATCTTCCACAGGGCGAAATGGAG